GAATGCAGGTGGGTGGATGTCAAAAGCTAAGCGGTCTGCACAGCGTGCCTGCCATAGCATGAGATGCAGCCTGCGCAGTGCGGGTTGTCTGCCAAGTCAGAAGAGCATGGTGTTGTGGCCTGGCTGTCTTTTGTATGCCCAGCCATGTCAGTACCCAGAAATGACCTCTGCTGCCATGCCATATGTAACCCATGCACTGACAACACCCGCTATCTCTCGTCCAGACCTCTGCCCTGAATTCTGGAATCGTTCACCCAACTGCCTACTTGCCATCCCCGTTGGGATATCTAAAGGCATCCCAAATTTAATATCTCAAAAACTGAGCTTCTGATGTTCTCCACCCCTATGGCAAACATCCTCACCCATAGTCACCTCGTCTCTGTTGATGCCAACTCATATCTTTCCAGGAGCCCAGGCTCACAACCTTTGAGTCATCCTTAATTCTCTCCCCACACCCTGTATGCCACCCATCAACAAATCCCACACCGTGTGTGCACCCTACCTTCAAATAGATCCAGAATCCCACCCCTTTTCACCTTGACTGTGAAGTTATTAATGAGGTCAAATTGCTGGCCTGGCCACAGCTTAAATCTTTCCTGTTCTGTTTATCTCTGTAGCTCTTATCACCCTCTCACATACTGTGTGTCTTACTTACCTTGTTTATTTATTATTCCTCCTCACTAAAGCATAAGCTCCACAAGGGCGAGTATTTTTATCTTTTGTAGCTGCAGTGTCTAGACCAGTGCCTGGCATGTAGTTTACATTCCAATGATGAATGAGAGAAGGAATGTATGACTATCACACAGTCATTTTACTGCTAAGCGAGACACGTCACCCAAACGTCTAAGTTCTGAGCCTTGAAATTCTAGCTGTGCCAGCACTGGGACAGTCATGCCTTATCTCTGTGTTCAGGGCTAGGGCGGTTCCTTTATGCTTGGTTAGGGCTCCTCTGAGTGGAAGCCTGGCATGACCTCCTCCAAGAGCATTGGCACGAGGCGGTGGCATCTGGGGAAGGGCCAGAGATGCTGAAGGCCAAGTCAGCCTCCTGGGGCACTGTGAGGTGGGCTTTCCATTCACACAGCCCAAGCCTGTCCCCAGCTCTTGGTGGTGGTGGGGGGGTTGGGGGGGACTTCTGTCCTCTGAGGGCTGCCAAGGAAAAGAACAGGGAGTGAGTAGAGGAGGGGGCTTGGAGAAACGGAGTTGCCAGCAAAAGAATTAGGGTTCCTTTGGAGTCCTCTCTCAGCACCTGGGACAGTTCTTGTGACTAAGTGCTATCCTATTCGCTGGCCACAAGCCGCCAACACTCAGGGCATGGCTACCAGGACACTGCAGAGGGGCCCTGTGGATTATAGGAGCAGAGGGAGAACCTAACCCTTCGGAAGCCCCTGAAGATTTAAGAACATGAGGCATGTTCATTGGTAACGAACCTGGGGAGTCTGTTATACCTGAAACTGTGTGCCTAGGACTGGGAGAGCGCGGGCAGGCCGCGGCAGTTGGCGAACACTGAGACCTACTATTTGTTGAGTCCTTACTATGTTCCCAGCACCATGCCAAGCATTTTGCTAAGCATTATAGCCTTTGTCCTCAAAACAACCCAGTGATGTAGCTATCATTCTAATATCCATTTTACAGATGAGGAACCTGAGAGTTTAAGGACACTTAGCTTGTAAGGGATGAAGAAACTGAGGCTCAGAGAGGTTTGGTAATTTTCCAAAAATCATAAAACCTGCAAGTTGGGACCTGGGATTTAAATCCAGATCCAATTTCATATCCCAAGCTGTGCAGCCTGCTGCCTCTCCTGACTTAATATCAGGATGTTTGTTGTAGTCTTGTTTATAATAAAAAAAAGAAAGTCACGCCTGTAATCCTGGCTCTCTGGGAGGCCGAGGTGGGTGGATTATTTGAGCTCAGGAGTTCGAAACCAGCCTGAGCAAGAGCGAGACCCCCGTCTCTACTAAAAATAGAAAGAAATTAATC